CAAAACAAAACTTAAATCAAAACCTGAGAAAGACTCAGGTCATGTTTAACAAAAAGGTGACTGCGGACCCTTCTGGAGGCAATGGACATAGACTGAAAAAGGCAAAAGTATGTTTGCCTCGGACAACTCTTCTCATCTATCAGAGAACCGACTATGTGAAATCAACAGAAGAGTAGAAATAGCATAGATCACTTCTGGAAGACTGAAAATGTTCCTATCCGGGAAATTGTCTTTGGGCTTGAAACGAAAAGTGTTCAAACGGTAGGTGCTTCCAATGCCAACTTATGGGTGTGAAACGTGGATGCTAAGCCAGAAAGCTGCTCATCAACTGCAAACAATGCAACGCAATATGGAAAGATGATGTTTGGTACACCAAGAAAAGACAGGAAGACAAACGAATGGCAAATAGTAAAAAAAGAACCTGGAATGTCATACACGATGAAAATGTCGTCACGGAAATAGACAGTATAGATTAGAAGAAAAATCAATCACTGCCGGCGTGAGAGGCATTAGACTTGGTTCTGTGAGACAGTAAAGAGGCTTGTAGGAAGACCTCCAGATCGATGGCACGATCAACTGAAGAGATTCGCGGGATCACGAGTAATAAAAATGGCAAAAAACATATCTATGGCAACTTTTTGGAGTTTCTGTGCAGCAGTGGATCGACCAAGGCATGATGAACATAACATTTATGAGCCATGTACAAATGGTAACATTTGCAGTGCGCTAATTTTAGTAAAACGAAGAACAACATGAAAGAATAGGATGATGAACAAATGGATAAAAGCACAATCAGGAGTCTGCGATGTCACCGCCTGAGATGAAGTTAATATAGCAATGGGCAGGAGGACAGCATGCAAGAATTACCGACATCGCTAGATCATACAGACAATAGAATGGGTTGCAAGAGAGAGCGAACATTCCGTAGGAAAATCTCTAGATCGGTCGATGGCAGAGTTAACTAAAGAAATTCGCTGGATCACGTGGATAGGAATCGCAGAAAACAAAGTCTTGAAGAGGCCTTGATTCAGCAGATCAAACAAGGTTGGCGATGGTGATTACGATGCATATGAAGATGTTTCGCAGAAGAAATGAATTCAAATGATCCGTAATTTTGTATAAAAGAAGCATGTTATGCATGACGCAAAATTCTAATAGTTTTTCTTTCATAAAAATATCATTTTAAAGTTTAGCTGCAACGTTTAGAAGATAGTTCTCTTTATTTTTCGAAATCCTGCAGCAGGTT